TAAATGGAGACAACGAGATGCAAATAACCAGGCCAAGGTCAGAAGGAGGATGGTCGGAGGGTGGAAGTGAGCCCAGACAGCCCCACTCGAAATACCTGTACCCCCACTGCTCCGTTTCCGCATCTGTCCCTGCTCCCCGCGTAAGGATGGAGGACTGAAAACGTCTCCATCTATCTCCCTCCCAGACGCCCGAGCAGGCTCTCCCTCTCCACGTCTGCGTTCTGTCATTCTCTTAGGTGAGGAGTTGCTGCTGGGCCGGTCCAGATAAACACTAATTTGGAGTCAAAATTTTGATTTTCTAGGGCAGCTGCCGTGAAAATGCTCCCGAGTCTTAAACCAAAACCCCAGAGCCACGGGCTGAAATGGGGGGCTGGGCCACGTGGGGTCCGCAGGGCGGAGCTGGTTGCAGCCTCTCTGCGGCAGGACAGACCGACTCCCTGTCGCCTCTCTGCCGCCGCCGCCAGAGGGCGCACGTGGGCGACTGTCTCCAAAATGGCCGCTGTCCATCCTTCCCCTCCCTGCGTGCGCCTGGGAATTCTCGCATCAAGAGGTGGAGTCTGTTTCCCTTCTGCTCGACTCTGGGCTCGCCTCGACTTGACTTGACCACTAAGTCAATTCCCAGCCAACCACTCCCTTCCCCCAAACCCTCTAATGCCTCCCTATGTCTCTAAAGGTCAAAGCCAGAGTCCTTATAACGATGAGAACTTCTGGGTCCAATACCACTGGCCAATTGGAACTCTTTAATTTAAAATTAAATGAACGTGGACATCCATTTCCTCAGCCATGCCAGCCACCTTACAGGTGCTCAAAGGCCGCACGTGGTCAGTGCAAGCAGAGGACATTTCCACCATCGCAGAATGTTCTCTGGGACAGCACTGGTCCGCTCACTCTGTCCTCATTTTAGCTCTCTGCCGCATGGCCCACTCTCTCTGACTTCAGCCACCCCCTTGCTGTTCAGGGCACACGTGGAACATGTTCCTGACTCGGGGCCTTTGCACTTACTGTTCCCACTGCCCGAAGTGCCCTTCCCGGGATATTTCCACGGATCTGTCCTTCGCTCCATGCGGGTCTTTCTTCAAGGGTCACACGCCCAGGCAAGGTCACCCTGACCGCCCCGTTAAAAGTCTCACTCTTCCCGCCCATGCCCGCCTTCTTTTTCGGAGTCTCTTTGTTTCTAAATAGCGCACTGACTGTTTTCGTCAGGGGGCTCGCTAGAGGGAATTGGTGACATGAGTTTGCAGGCAACGTGGCAAAAGGGGAAGTCACGTTGCCCAGAG